AGTATATTGCAATGACACTGGATGATCTTGTTGCTAGAGCCAGAACATTGGCGCCGTCGGTGATGCTAATTGAGCGTGTAGACGTCTTGGGTGATGCGGCACTACTTGCCGGGAACGATGGCCTTTCCAAGCTTGCAAGCAGCTTTGTCAAGTTTGTCGACAGCGTCCCACACGACGTGTTTTTGGTGCTCGAATCCGGCGTCGAGCTTGGCGAGCTTCCCCTAGCCATAAAACGCTGTGGAGCTTTGCAGCACTATCTGACGATTGGTGTTCCAGATGCACAACGGCGAGAACAGATAGTTAAGGCGGTGCTTGGCGATCTGTTGACTGAGGTGACATATACCGATGATATGCGCCAAGAGGAGATCAATTCGCTGTGCCGGCGGGTGGCTGCCGCCACTCCTGGGTATGTGGCTCGAGATATTGCACGACTGTGCCGACAGGCGCTTTTGCGAATGCTTCGCAACAACAGTGAACAAAGTGCAAACTCGGTCGACGATCTATCCGAAAGCATGACACTGCTTTCATTATCTGGACAGGTCGCTCGTGCGTGTAATATAACACTGCCTGCATGGCAATGGTTTGGTGGCGCACTGCAAATCGTAGGGCCATCACAGCAGCTAGAATTTGAGAGTTCTAGGCCAGCCAAGCGATGGGCGGACATTGGCGGGTATGAAGCTATAAAGCTGCAACTGCAGCGATTTATACGGCTGGCAACGTCCGAGACGCCATCACGGCTAGGGGTTACGCCGCCGTCTGGAATTTTGCTCCATGGACCATCCGGATGCGGCAAAACAGCGCTGGCGTTGGCTATGATAGGAGAGAGTGCATGCAATGTTATTTTCATTCGTGGGTAAGTGAGGTTTCAGGAGCCATACAATCTCCCTGGCAGTAAACAAGTGTGCTAACTGCCTATATTGTAGGTCGGAGTTGTTTTCAAAGTACCTGGGCGAAACCGAGGCGCGACTACGTCGATTGTTCCATACTGCGCGAGCGGCGGCGCCATGCATTGTATTTATGGATGAAATCGACTCTATCGCTGCAAAACGTGAGTGGTCGTCTGTCGAAAGTGGCGGTCCTTCCCTGCGAGTACTCAGCACATTGCTGAATGAGATGGATGGCGTGCATGAGTCATGTGGGGTAGTTACAGTGGGCTGCACAAATCAATTGAGCAAAATCGACGATGCAATCCTGAGACCAGGTACAGTATATTTGAGACGTGTTAAAAAAATCATATGCGAAATGCTGCTGTTGACATACTTGATACTGAGTTATGTATATACTTTTTTTATTATGATAGGGCGGTTTGATCAGCTTGTCAATGTCCACCTGCCAACTGCTGCAGACCGCGCAGGTATCTTGCACGTGCTTGGTAGTAGGTCGCAGGTGGCAGATGATGTGAGTATCAGCGAACTGGTCAAGTTAACAGATGGGCTCAGTGGGGCAGGCCTAGGGCAACTGTTCTGTGAAGCGGGGATGTCTGCTATGCACACTAGTCGCCCAGCGCTGGCACTGAGAATGCACGACTTTGTTAGTGCTATTAACAAAGTGAATGTACAATGACTCGGCTGAGATACATTAATCAATATATAGAGTGGCTGAGCATGTCATACCCGAATGGCAGTCTAGAACGTCTGGGCAACTCTTTTTTGTTTGACCATGTACGACTCTTTTCAGCTCAACATTGACTATTAACATTTTTCACAATGCCTAATAAAAGTTGTAGTTTCTCCTTGGTCAAAACTTACAAGTATATGGATGCTCTCCAGGAGCAAACCATTTCCGTTGTTCATACGTCAGTGCTTGACTTGTCAGTTGATATTGCCATGGCCAGTATGACAATTTGGGATTATTATATCATCCAAAATTGACGCTTTATCAGGGTATGTTTAGATATACAGTAAGGGACAAAACTGTCCATATGTTTTTTGACTCTGCCTTTCAACATGAGTAACGTCATCCACAAGTGTTGGATCGCTCTGAGACTAATTTTATCAGATAGCCCGGGGTTGACTCTACTATATATAAAATACTAGTGTCATACCGTTGATTATGTGTAATTCCATGCATATTTGCATAGTATATCTTAATAAATCAGTTTTTAAATTTTTGTACTCCAAATAGTCAATAGTTTGTCGATCCACCTTTGGCCTTTAAAACAGCCTTAGTTCATCTTGGCATACAATCTATGAGTCGCTGGAACTCATCAGGCTTGAATTCGAACCAAACCCTTTGCACCCGCAACCACAGCTCCTTGATGTTCCTCGGATGGCAGCCACATTCTTGGAGATGCCGTTCTAGCCAAGCCCAATGTTGCTCGATTGGGTTTAAGTCTGGCAACTGTGAGGGCCAACCAAGCACAAAAACATGCTTGTCTGCTAGCCACTTTTTGACGATCTTGGCCATGTGATTGGGGTCATTGTCATGCTGGTATATAGCAATGACAACTTTGAAGTGCAGCCAATTCAACGTGGGTAAGGCCCCCTCCTCCAAGATCCCAACGTACGTCTCCTTGACCAGTGTATCTTTAATCCAGAACATATTCCCAGGTCATACACCCCCAGATCATGATTGAGTGTTGTGGTATTTTGCTGCTTTTTTAGCGCCACTACCACTTGGCACAAGCTTGGAGGGTCTTGTCTGTCTGGAGCTGTATCCATGTATGCAGCTCCAACAATTACGGCATGAGAAGGATTGACATTTCCTTCAGCTGCATATCCAAGGAGCTTGAGCCAGCCTCCACTTGTTGGCATCTTTATCTTCTTTATTACTAACTTACTTTTCTACTATTATCATGTTAAACGAATAAAGTCCAGAACAGTGAGTTTTAGCGCGTGCCTAGCACTTTAGAAGACATATCTTCTACAAGTGTAATACTATTATCTGCCAGTTGGCACTAAAAGAGAAGATAAATATTTATTCCAACATATCATATAATAAACGTCATTTTTGACGCAACATTTAAGCATATATTTATTGATTAGAGAAAATAAACTGTCAATCCCTGAGGGGTGGATAATCAGATGTGTGGTATTTAGCTGCCTTTTAGCACTATTACCACTTTGGCGCAAGCTTGGGGGATTTTCATAACAGGGAGTAGGATCGACATTTCTCCTCCCGTTTTACATCCCAGCAGCTGGCGCCTGTCTCTGCCCATTGGCATCTTTATCTTCACTACAACTTACTTTTAAAACTACTTGTTTATTTTAACAGAGGTTTTAGGACAGTGAGTTGCGCGTTATACACGCTTAGAAGACATACTTCCACACATAGTATTGCCCTTTAGTATTTTTACACGTGTTGCAATTGGGCAGGGTGACAAGAAGGCACACTCTGATTCCTCTAGTGTTGCCTCTGATCCAAGCATGGAGATGGAGTTCTCATCAGAGGAATTGTAGTGTTTGATAGGGTTTAGGGTTTATTTATTGCTGCAAGGTTACGCGGGAGTATATAAGGCAGGGTAGCGACTAGCGCGCCTTGATGAAGATGGTCCTCAGCTTGATATAATATTCCTCTTTTTACATATTTCTAAAACACAACACAAGGATATCCATCCACCTCTTTCTGAAACTCGGCTCTCCAATCCTCGGCTATCTTGCCTGGCAAAAGTGCCGGAGAATTTATCTCCTGATTAATCTGGCGCATCTTGCGGTAATCATCCCAGCGAAACTCTGCGTGAGGGTATATCAACTTCTTGATGCTGGCACTATGTTTGCTGAAGCTACGAACCTCCTTGACCCAGTAGCTGTCGGCATGGTCTGCAAAACCGCGGTGGAGGTAGATGTCGCGTAAGATTTGCTTGACCTCAAACCATGGAATTCGGTTTTTGACAGTGGCCTGTTTCTTGACGATGACGTTGGCCTTGGCCCACACTGCATGTTTAAAATCGTTTTCATCGAATTTTATACCGTACCGGGCAAGAAAAGCTGCGCAGTCTTTTTTCGTGAATCTCGTCAGCGTAAACTTTGATTCGCTGCCATACGTCCGCCGATAATATTCCTTGGCTTCGGTACAGATATCGTCCACTGTGACGTAGCAGTGGGCCTGCTCCTTTCGTGCCCAGTTTTTGAGGTATTTGGCGTCGTCCTTTGTGAGCGAGTTAAAAGTTTTAACAAACGAAGCCGACATGTTGACACTAGATGAAAGAAAAGAGTATGATGCAGAAAAAAAAGTGTTCAAGTGAAAATGAGAGAAAAGATGGAATTGTAGTCAAATAAAACTCATTCAACTCAAGAGCACACACTGATAATATTGCTTGTAAAAAATAAACCAAACAACATCCACTAGTGGGGACCAATTGTTGAACCTATGAGCCTGGGCTGCCTCCTGATCCAACTCTGGCTTGCATCCTCAGCAATGCCAGGAGTTATTAAAGGTTATGAGCAGGGGCAGAGGGAATTTGTAGCAAATAGAAATCAGAGTAAGATGCAGAAAAAATAATACTTTAGAAAGTTAAAGTGAATTATAGCGACTTTTTAAATAAAAAAACCTGTGTTAGACATATGTAAAAAAGTTTTGCTGCATGTGGCATGGAGGGGGGCTACTGCAATTGTAATCTGAATATTTTGAGTTCTGTAACTTGTAAGACAAAAAAAATAGTTCCTAGTGAACAAAAAATAAAAAAAACAATTTTTATGACCCAGTTGGGGATCGAACCCAAGACTTTTAGCATCGGAAACTAACGCTCTAAATCCTCTGAGCTACAGGGCCATCGTGTTTTGGACTAGATAGTCATGTTAAATTTTAGGCGTAAATTAGGGATGATAAACTTGAACTTCATATGCAATCACCCCCGATCAACATTGATTACGTCCACCACTGTCGGCAACGAGATCCCCTGGTACTCGTACCTTGACGTCGGCATGATCGACTTTAGCGGCATTCAGGGATTCGCGCGCTCGCATATCGGCCGTAAGTTCACGTCGAACGCTGTCAGGGTCCTCGAGAAGGTCGGCATTGCGCCCAAGGGCACCGTCAAGGTCCAGGATGTCCTGACCACCGCCGCCGATAGCCTGGTCGCTGGCGCTAAGATCGAGATCTTT